GGTGCGGCGCACGCGGCCGCCGGGACGCTGCCCCGCCACGTGGAGGCGGGATGCACGGCTGGAGCCGGGCTCGCCCCCCGGCCGCGGCCCCGACCGGCCTCCTGCTCCCGCAGCCCGGGGACCCCGGCCGCCCCGCGGGGTCCTCTGCGATGCGACACTGCCAAGGAGACGGCCAGGAGAGACCCCCCTTCTTCAAGCCACCCGCAGTGACGGTCAAAAAGCTGCAGAAGTGGATGTACAAAGGACGTCTGCTGTCCCTGGGAATGAAAGGTCGCGCCCTCGGGACTCCCCCCAAAGACAGCGGAGCGCCGGCAGTCTCCCCAAATCCCGGCGTCTTGAAAGGGCATGACAGCCCACTCCTGGCCGTGCCTCCAGACCAAAGGATTGCGCTGACAGGTAGAGTCCCCTGCCACCAAACGTTAGCCCCAGAGCAAGCCTGCTTCCCACTGGGGGACAGGGACTGACTCGCCCTGGCTTTTGCGCACAGGTGCGTGACTGCCAGAGTCGGTGGCAGCCAGGAACGATTTCGAGGTTACTTAGTGCGGGGCATCCCCTCGGGGGCTGGCTTTTGAAAAACGGCAATGGCACGCGCAGTGCGTGTGTGTGCCATGTTGTGTGCGTTTGCGAGTGGGAACTGGTGGCGCAGGGATGGCGCGCTCCACTGCTAACTGAACGGTGGGTCCTTGGCGGGAGGTTTGGGAAGTTTACAGCCTAGGGCACCCCGTTGGGCCGCCCGTTTGGGTTGCTGCGAGGCGAGCACCCCAGACAGTCTCCGGATTGTTAACTTGCGGGGGGGTTCCCCCTTCCCTGCACCGGGCTTCGCAGAGGCTGACTCTCCAGCGTCCGGGTAGAGCTGGGCGGCGCTGCTTTGGTGTTTTTCTCTGTAGCTCGAGGCAAATCGGTAGACTTTTGTGCAGTCTGAGAGTTTGAATCTGTTCCAAGGCCGACTTTACCCAGCTTCATAAACTGTCAGTTTACTCATTATACATACTCTTTTCCCTCCCTCTCTGCCAGGCATCAAATACATTGGCACAAAGCGAGCCAAACCAAAGTTATCTATCCCAAGTTAAAAGCCAGCTATCCTAAGTTAAAAAAAAATTAGATACGATTTCACATACTTCTTCTCTCCACCCATCCCATCCTCCCAGGAGAAAACAATAAAACCAACAAAGTAATCTTTGCACTGTATTGTGGGAAAAAATGTGTTTTATCCAATTACACCCCTCTCCTCCTAAAATATAAACCCAGGGTCGTCTTAGGACACTTACTATTTTAATCAAAGAAAAATGTTTCTCATGTTAAAAAGAGTACAGACTTTTAAACTTTTAAAATTATCTGTAAACCAAAAGAAAACTTTAAATGAGAAACATTACTTAAAAAAATGTATTATTAAGGGTTTACCTCTCTTTTTACACGCTTTTTAAATTTTTTACTGAAAGTTTAGGTTATCAGCTCTAAAAATCTCTTAAATGTGTTGTAAATAGGATGTCTTTTTTTTATTTTGAAAGAAGTATAATACCTTTAAACTCAGCCAAAATCAAGTCTTTTTTTTTTCAAAATAGTCTTTTGAACTAAAGACATACACATGAGAATTTTTTATGAATTTAAAGACCTACATGTTAGTAGTAATTTTGAAAACATTTAAATGCTAAGATGTAAAGAACACGTTCAAAAGAGTTGGCATTTTTTCAGGTAGGAATTGCAAATCTTACAGGATTGGGGTTGTACACATTAACTTTGTTTAATTAATAAACACAAAACAGTGGGGACACGAAGTTCACAAAGTTTCTGACACAATGAGGACAACCCAAGTGATTTATTTTGTATGTGTATGAAAGTAAAAAAAAAATGCAGGCAAAACACCTGTCAAAAATTCCATTTCATTGGAATAAAAAGGTGGTGTTATTGCTTGTTGGCATGAATCCATTCCAGTGCACAGCAACCCCATGTAACAGAGTAGAACTGCCTCATGTGGCTCTCTAGGCTTACTCTGTATGGGAGCAGATCTTTCCCCGATCGGTCCCTGGTGGATCTGCTGAGTGAGTTTGAACTGCCAACCTTTCAATTAGCAAAATGCCAGGAGCCATTGAATTAAACTGTGCCACCTGGCTTCAGAATAAAAGCACAATAGAATATAAAACCTTCCGTTTTAATATCAAGTTTATTTTAAAATATGTATTTCCAGGGGGGAAAATATTTGTAATTTGTTTTATTTTATTGCCACAATATGTGTATCTTTATCTCCCCTGATGTTGGCTCAACAAATTTCAGCCACTACTAAATCTGTATAAAACTTTAGTCAGGTGTTTTGGGTTTTTTTTAGCCTATTGTTCCAAGGGTAAAACATTTACCACTTGATGGTTTCTAATGCCTTTAGTTCTGATATAAACATTCAAGGGTTTAAAAAGTAATAATAAATGTATCTTCTCTAAAGAATTAGTTGATACTTCCCCTGGGAAATTGAAACTACTAACTTAGAAAGAAACCAAAATGAAACATTAGAATTAACTACGTATATGATAGTATACAAAAACATTCTACATAGATGTATTGAAAACATTATAATAATGGACAAGTGGAAGCCAGCCGATTTTCTGAAGGTGCTTGTTGGCTCCTTCCAAGAACGACTCACTTGTGCTGGTACTGTACAATAATGCAGTTATTTTGATTCGATGCAGTTAGGTGTTTAGGATTCACAAATTAGCTAATTTGTTCCTAATTGAGATGATTGTTTAAGAAATCTAAAGTCATGACACATAGTAAATATGGTCAAGTTTCCGCAAGTCTTGAGTTTATGAAAGAATCTTCATCTATTTGCCAAATATGTGGAATTTTAAGTCTTTATAAATTTAATTATAATACTCAAAATGAAATTCTAAGAACTCTTTAATTCTCTAAAAAACAAAAATATTAGCCTACTTTGACAGTTTTTCTTATTGCATGACTTTTGAAAGAAAGAAAATAGGGTTTTTAACTTGTGAATAATTTGTCTAAAATCTTTAGATAATTATTTAAAATAGTATGAGTTCATAGATATGATCGTGTGCATTTCATCTAAAGTGAAATTGGCACTGTGATGCAGATTTACATCTGTTTATACCCTCAATTGCTTATAGCTCTGCTTTCTTTTGTTTATGAGCTGAATTATTTTTTCCAGCAAATTCTTTTTTTCCCCCAGTAAATTCTTTTATGCAGTGGCGCTCTTCAAGATTAGTCACAATAGGCATATAATTCTGGATTTGTCTTCTAGTTTTTGTTTTTAACACGTTTTCCAATGAGTTTCTTTTATTAGTTAAGTAATGAGTCCGGATCCCAGGAGAGAAGTAAGGAGGGCCCATTTAGATCTTCCCAGGAAATGGACCTTCCGCCCGGAACTCATCCCTGGTAGACACTCAGGGACGTGGGCCAGAGTGACTTGTACACACCCTGATACCACTGACACACGGAGACATTACCCCCTTTAGCAGTCATTGCTTCTCGCAGCAGTGGAAGTCCAAGTAGTTGTGCCAGCAGTTCCTGATTTGGTTCTGGTTGGGGATGTGGCTGTTAAAAGGGGCAGTTCAGGAGTTCTTGATTTTGATCTTCATGTCAGACATGGTGGTGACTCCTAACGGCACCTCCTGAACACACTGGCACCTCAATGTGACCCTCAGACTGTCTTCTAGTTTTAAATCTTCCTTTAAGAAATTCTGCTATTGTGGCCTTAGAAGCAATTGCAGTTGTTTTCTTTCTGGGGACAGGGGTGCTATAGAACATTGGTGTTGCTTGTGCTTGGAAAACATCCCGGACTACAAATTCAGCAGAAAATATAAGCTGTGTAGTTTTTATTTGAAGGCCCTATATGTGTGTAGATCACTGGTTTCCAAGAAATGTGTGGTATTTGTGTTTCGAGAACCATAGAGACCATTGTCTAGACCAGTGGCTCTCAACCTTCCTAATGCCGCAACCCTTTAATAGCGTTCCTCATGTGGTGGTGACCCCCTAACCATAAAATTATTTTCATTGCTACTTCCTAACTGTAATTTTGCTACTGTTGTGAATTGGGCAACTCCTGTGAAAGGGTCGTTCGACCTCCAAAGGGGTCGCAACCCACAGGTTGAGCCGCTGGTCTAGACCGTTGCCACCTAAAGTTTGCTTCACAGTTTTAGAGCAGGGCTTTTCAAACTCCAAACAAAACAAAACTCACTGCTAAATCTTATAGCAACATTTTGAGTCAAGACAGGATTGAATTATAGGATTAGATAGAACTGCTGTGAGTTTCCATGACCATAACTATTTAATAGAGTAGAAAGCTTCTTTCTCCCTTGGAGCAACAGGTGGTTTTGAACTGCTGACCTAGCAGTCCAACCTAGCGCAAATACTATGCCATATCAATTTCCTAGAGATCTTATTAATGTGAAGATTTAACCGTTTAAATGCTGCTTTTCCGTGTTCCACTGAGAAGGTTCTGGAGATCTCACGTCATCCATTCACCTATTAATAACATTTACTATGTTTTGAAAAACATTCTACCTTATTCTGAAACGTAATACATCAACTAACCCTCTTTAGAACAAAACACTTGATTTCTTTCTGCCTCCGTTTTATATGTGTGGATTTATACTTAGCATTTATGATTAATGAACTTGGATCGCTTCCTTCATATCGGTCCTACCTTGCACCAATAAATAATTGTGGGCATGACAAAATAATAATAATTTGTAAATTATCAAGGGTTCATGAGGGAGGGGGAAAATGAGGAGCTGATTCCCAGGGCTCAAGTAGAAAGCAAATATTTCGGGAATGATGATGACAACAAATGTACAACTGTGCTTGACACAATGGATGTATGTATGGATTGCGATAAGTGTTATAGAGCCTCCAATAAAATGATTAAAAATAAATAAATAAATGATTGTGAGAATTTGGAGTTGGCCAGAGAGGAAGCTCTACAGTATTAGTGATTAACAGAGTAGAGACTCCAGGGTCAGATTGCTTGGGTTTCTGACTAGGCTTTACCACTTACCAGGTTTGTGACCTTGGACAAGTTACTCAACCTTGCCAAACCTTAGTCCTCCTGTTTCTTCCTTTGTAAAGTGGAGATAATGATAGTATCTGTCTCCTAAGGTTGCTGTGAGGATGAAAAAGATAATCCATTTAAAGCTTTTAGTACCATGCCTGGCAATTAGTTAGCTATTATTATGATGATGGGGAAGGCTGGTAGTCACTTTGGAGAGCACGTTGCGTCACCCAGATCTTTAGGGTGTAGATGTAAATGTGTGGGGGAATGGCCAGAAGAAATTGGGGCTTACTGCCTTGACGCGTATTGGGAGTTGGATTAGAGGAAAACCCCTTCAGGGGCACGTACACATTCTGTTCTTGTTTTGTGCATCTTTCCTTTGCTCCTGCCCATTAGT